GAGCCGGTGAGATTTGAACCGTTGAACTGCAGATAACAGTCAGCTGAAGTGGCCTGCAGTACTGCACCCTAACCACTGCGCCACCTCGGCTCGACAAATGCGCGCACGACAAAACCGTGGCGAGAAAACCGCGACATCGAAATCGCGCCCACAACAGCGCACCGACAACAGTGCACCGACAAAAGGGCGCCTTCAACAAATAACGCGAAAACAACGTAATAACCCTAACCCTACCCTAACCCTAAACCTAACCCTAAACCTAACACTGAACCTAACACTGAATCTAACCCTAACCCTTACCTTAATCCTAATCGCGGTTTTGTCGGCGCGGTTTTGTCGGCGCGCTGTTGTGGACGCGATTTCGACGTCACGGTTTTCTCACCGCAGTTTTGTCGGTGCGTTTTTATCGTGCGCGCATTTGTCGGGTCACGGTTGAAAACATTTTGGAGAAACCAGATGGTTCAACTTGAATGCTTCAGTTTAGTACCTGTCATAAGAACAGCAAGTTCGGTGGCTGACGGTGGTGTCTTCTTCATCGCTGATCAGCCAATGGAAGGCAGGGTGATTGTGCAGGCGGATCCTGGCCAACGCGCTCATTGGGACGTAGGCACCACCTGCATTCAGGTCTCCCAGCACCATCACATTCTGTTGAGGTGGGGCAGGAAAGAAGATTGGAAACATTGTTGGCTCATCTAGTTCACAATCTATCTACCCTCTGCTCCCAGAATGTACCTCCGTTTTCCACCAATGCATTAGCTCCATGCATACTTCAAACAGCAGGTCAAGCTCACGGGCAGCTTCCCGAGGACAGGTATGGTGCAAGAGTAGCACAAAGTCTGAAGCAACTGTGTAGAGGTGATAGCAATACAGACAGCATGAGCTGATCAGGATTTATTTATCCACATCTACCAATACGCTTGCAGGGACTGGCTTGGTGTAGTGATTAAGGAACCAAGCTAAAAACTAGTTCTCGCCTTAGCAAAAGCCAACTGGGTGACCTTGGGCCAGTCACTTCGTCTCAGTTGTAGGAAGCAGCAGAAGGGAAACCGCCCCTGAAAACTTTGCCAAGAAGCTTGCATGGACTACAGCAGTCAACAGGTGAAGGCATAAAAAAATAGCAGTATACTTCCAAGCACCTTGGAAGGACTTCCTCATGGCGACAAAAATTGGACCCAAAATAAATATATGTCATGGCATAATTGTGTCTTGTACTGTTTTGGTCCTTTTAGTTGTTTGCAAATAATTATGGACATTCAGTATGTTATACTTCAAGAATATTATACATTACACTTCAGATTTATATTAAGCTCTTCCATTTATTAACTCTAAATCATCAATACAGGTCCAAAAAAACCTACTTGGATGTTCTCAGTCAAGATTGGAGGCTGAATTATTACTCCAATGTACTTTCTTAAAGCACAGGATACAAAACATCCTGCCTGTAACCAGTGGTGGGTTTTAAAAATTGTTCGAACCTATTCTGTGGGTGTGGCCTCCTTTGTGGGAGTGGCTTGCCGCCCATGTGACCGGATGGGAG